TTCTTCCCCCCAATTTTGTCAGGTGTAACACGAACTGCTTCGTCGGAGACGACATGCATCGGCTGCTGTTGATGATCGCGTTCGTAACTGAGGTGAACTTCGCGAACGTCATCCGGGTCAGCATCTGCGTGAGGAATAAATTCCGGGATGCCAGTCGACGTGACAGGTTCGGGAATATCCGTTGCGGCAGCTTGGGAGGCTTCAGATACGGCTTCGTCCTGTACATCAGCTTCGGCTTCGTCAGTTGCAAATGCACGCGAGCCTTCGAACAGCCTGGCGGGGTTGGCAGCTGCTGCTTGGTGGGCACGAAAAACTGGCAAGGTGAGTCGTTCATAGAAAAGACAATCACGTGAAGGGACGATTTGGTTTGAACGAAGATCCAAAATCTTCCATGGGTGATACTCTTTTTTGATGCCGAGGTGTACCCCCCATTTTGCCCGTTCAGAAAATTTGCCGAGTGCTGCAGTTGGAGGACGAAACTCTACAACACACCAAAAAACTCGTAAAAGTTTGGTACTTCCCACTGTTCGTGTCCACTGCAGGTGCGGAGAAGAAAATTCGGGCAGTGATGTGGAAGACAGTAGGTTGTGTAACAGCACGGCGTGTTCCATTGCATACGGCCAAAAGCGAGGAGGAAGAGCTGCCTACGTCAGCCGAGCACGCATCTTCTCTTGCAGAGTCTTATTCATCCGTTCTGCTACCCCCATCTGTTGGTGTGCATGCGGCAGTGATTGCTTCCGTTTGATGCCGAGGGTTTGGAGGTAGTCTGTGAAGGTGTTGCTCGTGTATTCCCTTACGCCATCACTTTGGAATTCTTGCAGTTTTACGCCAGACTCTCGTTCAGCTACAGCGAGCCATGCGACGAAGACGGAATGAGTGAGATAATGAGCAGGAAGGTTTGCTGTCCAAACGTAGCAAGTAGATGCTTCGATGAAGGTAATCACATACTGCTCCTCTTTAGGTCCTGCTTCAGGTAAGTTAAGAATATCGCTGTAGACTTTCTGCATCAGTTTATAACGTGTGGAGCCAGGAAAGTGACTCGGAAACAGATCGTGAGTAAGATTGGCGACCGGACACATGGTGCAAACCGTCGGACGAGACTGCGGCTTCATCTCCGTGCCGTCAGGTAAAAGAAGACTGTTTTTATCAAGAACTGCTGCTCGGATTGAATGATTTAAAATCCCTTGCGACGGATGCCCTAACCGCTGATGCCAAATTTCCTCTGTGGCTTTGTGTCCTGATGATCACAGATAAAAGTCGGCGTTAGTATAAAACGAAGAAATGATGAAAGGAGAAAGGGCGGGCGACATGTCAATCTCCCCTTCGACGAAACGGGTAAGCGGTAACTGAACATTTGAAGGTTCTGCTGTAGTTGCGATTACAACCTCTGATGCTGCTTCTGTTGATGTATGAGCAGACGGGCCTGCAACGGCTACTGGAAGATTCGGCTGCTCGGTGACTTCTGCTTTCACGGTTTCTTCGACGACTGTGGGTTCATCAGCGGCAAGTCCGCTAATTTCGCCCCAAAGTGGAGCTGGAGTTCCTTGGAACGCCGCGGGGGTATTATAAAACGTTCGCCACGCGTTGACGCCTTCATCGGCGGTATTGAACTCCCAAGTATCCAGTGCGGTAAGAACGGCTGCTACAGTTCGAGAAGCTGTTGGTACAGTAGTTGCTCGAAAATCAATATCCATGTGTTGATAATCTGTTTCTTCTGGGTGATCCTAGGGACCAAGTGCAAGGACGTGTTCAGAATCACCAGAAGTGCCTTGTGCCGTGATCTGAAGAACTGATACTCTATGTTGAGTAGCAGCACGACCGAGGTAAGTATTCGTTAAGCTGTGCCATAACTCCTGATCCATTGTATCACAGTTTTCTTGTGTGCAAATCTTGTGTGCCAAGAGTTGAGATGTGGAGAGAAAATTGAAGCCAAGTCCGGCAACGATAAGAACGTTGGTAACATGTAATGAATATCCCGTGTCAACTGATTCAAGCATGACACTCCCAATAGATCGTGCCATAATGGTTTGTCCGTTTGCGACTGTGACAGGTATCGGACGACAAAGCGGACGCTGGTTGGTGATGAAGCTTGTTTCAGCGGAGCACATGTGCCAACCACAACAGCTGTCGAGATACCAAGTATTGGGTCCTGAAATGACTCGAGCAAGGTTAGCATAAACTTGAGGTAAGGGAATGCCTTCAGCACTTGTGGTTTCTTCAAGTCGTGTCTCGAAATCAGTTTCTGAAACATCAACTGTTGTAACACATCCGAAAACCCCTTTTCCTGATGTTGCAGATGCAAAAACCGGAGGTCGATGCTGTGACGACGGTGTATTGTGCGGTGGTTTAGGCATCTGCTGTGCCGGGGACGTCGACTGCTACGTTGGTTGATGTGGCTTCGGTAACTGCTGCGAACGATGATACGGTTGTGAAGTGCTGCGACGGTTTTGATGGCGGCTGCGACAAGTTTGGTAAGTATGTCATGGTTTCTTGCAGAAATGACAGAAGGGATACTTCGGGGGAAGTCGTTGTTGCGGTTCTGGATTTGAGTAAAAACTCAAGTGTATCCCCTTTTTCTGATTGTGTTGTGACTGCAGATCCAGATCGTGCTGTTCGGCTTGAAGATACGAAGAAATCTCGGCTTCGGAGAGATTCAGATTCATGCGCAGGAAGGTGCGCGTTTGTCACCATTTGGGTCCAAGGCCAGCAAGAAGGACCGTGAGATACATCTCACGAGGGAAGCATCCCCCACTCTTCTCCAGTTGATCGCGTAGTGTACGGACGCGATTGACGTAATCCATGACATTCTCGTTTGTCATCATCTGCACACTTGTCAGTTGCGAAAGAATCGTACTCACTGTTATTGTATCTTTTGCCATGTATACCCCCTTTAAATGGTTCCATGCAGTTTCAGCTGGCGTAAAGCTGGAATGAAAAGATCGGACGCCGAGCTGCTTCTTTGGTGATAAGTTCCAAACAAGAACCGTATACGCCCCGAGAGAGGCGTGCAAGAAACTCTGTTGCTCTAGTTGTGTTCCCGTAACAGGATAAGTAAATTCGCCAGTGAAGAATGGCCATAGCCCGGCGGACTGCGCTAGAAGTTCGAATTCGAAGCTCCAGGAGTAAAAGTCAACTCCGTTAAAAGGTATAGTAGACTTTATCTGCGTGCTGTTACTATGGTTGCTGTTGATACTGCTGTGATTGTTGCTGAGCAGGTGAACGCCCGAAGTTGTAGTAGGGATGCTGCTGCTGCGACTATGGCTGCTGCGCAAAAGGTGAGATGAGCTAGAACTTGGAGCTGTAGCTCCACGCATATAACTTGAGTCGTCAAGACTCATTCCACTAAACGCTGACAATATTGATTGAGCCGAAAACTATGGTTGCTTGCTGTTGAGTTGTTGTCTGATGTTGTGCCGTTGCCTGTGTTTGATGTTGTTGCGCTGCAGGGGCAGTTGACGACATCCCTGGAGTACTGACAGAAGGCGAATTTTGCTGCATGCCAATGTGCGCATAAGCCGGTGGAAACGGTCCAGAGGCTGAGAGACCAGTGGCGGTCGTGGAGACAGGTACTCCAGTAGTTCCGAAAGTAGATCCGGTAGATTGTGCTGGTGTTGATCCATTCATTTTGATAGTAGTCTTAATTCCAGACAGCTCTGATACCATGTAATAATTTGACAAGTATTGCAGGAGACTAAGTGTAGAATCTGCAAACACAAACACTTGGAAAACCTCAAGTGTTAGCCTAGGATCTTTACTGGAATGGTAGACTAGTAAGACAGCGGAAGTCTTGTAAGAGTGAACCTGAGTATATAGTTCTGTAGAAGTCAAGTCTCAAGTTCTCAAAGTTGAAATCTCAAGGTTAATAATAAAAAGATACAACAAGGATTTATAGCTCTAGGAAAGTACCTATTCACTAATGTACCTGCTCGTCACTATCGCACTATGCGCCCTAGATGATAATGACGAGGTGCGACTGTTCGAGTGACTGAAACGACTGTCCTATGACGAGCGCTATTTGCTGACGTCATCCTACGGACTTATCTTCTACAGTAGGATTCGACACTATCTATCGATAAACGACTTACAGAAATGCTAAATATGAATTATACCACAACAGTCGACAACGTAGGGTGGTTATTTTAAAAAACGTCAGCCCTGCTAGCCACCCCTGCCACCAAAGGCAGAAGGCATGACAGTGGCAAAAGGTGCTTCAATAACCAATGCAAACAATATCGTAAAAACCAAACAATTCTTAGATTCAACCTACTCATCTGGTGCATCTGGTACCGTAATCCACTGTATATAACACCCTATGGTGGATATAAAAAATCACAAAAAATGAGTGGGTGTTAACATTGGCTCGGAAAAATATAGTGCCCATGTGTTCTCTAAATTGCAATTTGAATTTGAGTGCTCCAGGCCATGTGTGTACACTGTCACAAGAGCTAGGGTAGCTAGGAACGGCAGGAAGCTGTCACAGGATCGAATGTGTCGAGGAAATGTTGCACTATCGATCAGTACAAGGCGCATTTATACTTCCAAAGTACATTAGGTAACCAGGTTTATCCTATCCTAAGGGAATAGACCCTTATAGAAAATAGCATCACCCTGCGTACAGCCACGCGGGGCTATTGGCTTTAAGGGATTACGGCAGGATTACGCTAGATATAGCGCGCCAGTACACCCCGAGCCTGGTTGGTGATATAATGATAATAACAGGATAAACCAAAGGTTTATGGAAAAGGAGAAATAGGAATCCAAATGAAATGAGAGAAAAACCAAATGGATCAGGAGAAAAAGAGGAATGAAATGGAAAGGAAATATGGAAAGGAGAGAGGAGTGGAACGGGGTCGTACTCTCACACTTCCCCCCCTCAAAGCTGGGTGGTAGACGTAACACCCTGCTTGACAAGGTATTCGCGAAGAGGACGACGAGCGTGGTCCATCTCGGATATTGAGACCCAGCTATTCTCTGAAGGATCGTAACCCTTCCAACGGGATGAGAAGCTCCACGTTGCCATTCCGTCAACGGCGGTGAGCAAGCACGGACTCGACCTCATCCTTGGGTTCATCATGGACGAGGACGGGCGGCGGCGGCGGCGGTTGGCGTCCAGAGAAGATCGCGTTGGGATCTCGGTAGGGCTTCAAGAGTTGGACATGGAAGGCATTGTGAATCTTCCAGGTAGCTGGCAGACGTAAGCGGAAGGTAACAGGAGTAACCTGTGCTTCAACGAGAAAAGGCCCGCAGAAGCGAGGTCGCAATTTGGATGGGAGATGGTTGATGTCAAGATTGCGCGTGTTGAGCAGCACTCGATCTCCCACGGTGATGGTGTGGTCTGTGCGGTGGCAATCGGCCTGGCGCTTCTGTTGTTGCTGAATGTCGAGAAGGCGCTTGTGGGTCCGATCCCATAGTTTGTGCATAGTCATGATGAAATCATGAGCGGGTTGGACTGTGGCTGGTATGTTTGGCTGTTGACGTGTGAGTGGGTGGCGTCCGTAACAGAGGAAGAACGACGTCTGTCCAGTAGCCGCGTGAGTAGCATTGTTGTAGGCAAACTCCAGGACGGGCAGATGCAAGTCCCATTTGGAGATTTCGTCCTTGCAGGCTGCGCGGAGGAGTTGCTCCACAATTTGGTTGAGGCGCTCGGTCTGTCCATCTGTCTGTGGATGGTAGGCGGATGACATGGCGAGTTTGGTCCCGAGCAGAGACATCAGTTCTTTCCAGAATTTGCTGGTGAACTTAGGGTCTTGGTCGGAGATGAGTGTGGTTGGAATGCCATGTTGTGAGATGATGTAGCGAACAAAGAGTTGTGCCGTCTCCTCGATGCGTGCTGTCGTGTGTGTCGGGATGAAGTGTCCCATTTTGGAGAACTTGTCAATGACGACGAGGATCGTGTCATGACCGCTTGTGGTAGTTGGTAGCCCGGTGATGAAGTCTAGGCTGACCACTTGCCATGGCTGTTCTGGGACAGGAAGAGGCAATAGTAGACCCGCCTTTTTCTGCTTGCTGCTCTTCATCCGCTGACATGTAGTGCACGAGGTGACAAATTTCTGTACGTCATCTACCATGTGGGGCCAGTAGTAGTGTTTGGCGATACCGGTGAGCGTCTTGTTGCTACCGAAGTGTCTTACGTACAGGACGTCGTGGTATTCTTCGAGTAGTAACTGGCGCAATGGAGGGTAATTAGGTACCCAGATCTTCGTTGATCTTTTCCGGTATGCGATGGCGTTGTCCCACTGTAGCAGATGTCGCTTTTCTGCGAAGGGAATTTCGGGGTCGATGGTGTACCCGTGTGTGAAGAGTCCCTTGAGGAGTGCATTCATCCCTTCAACTTGGATAGCGGCAACGTGTGCAGGCCGGCTAAGAGCATCGGCTTTGTTTTTATGGCCAGACAAATACACGATGTCATAGTGGAAGTGCATCTCGAGGAAGTCGATCCACCGAACCTGTCGCCTGGAGAGGCTTGGTTGCGTCTTCAAATATTTTAGGCTGCAATAGTCGGTGTAGACTGTCGACTTGCGTCCTTCGAGATAGCATCTCCACGTTTTGAAGGCGATGATGATAGCCAGGGCCTCCTTGTCCTGTATCGGGTAGTTGAGTTCTGCCTCGTGTAGTTTCTTGCTGAGATAGGCGATTGGTTGCAGTCCATTCCCCTGGTCTTGCATCAAGAATGCTCCCACTGCCTGGTCGCTGGCGTCAGCTTCGATGACGTAGTCGCGTTCGGGGTCTGGCAAGATGAGTACTGGTGTGGACGTGAGTGCTTGCTTCAGCTGCTCCACGGCTTCCTGGTGCTTCGGCTCCCATTTATAGGGCGCATCTTTTTTAGCAGATTCGTGAGTGGCGCGGCGATCTTCGCGTATTGTGGCACGAACATGTTGTAGTAGTTAACGAAGCCAAAGAACTGCTGTAACTCCTTCCATTCTCGGGTGTCTTCCACGTACGCACGGCTTCGATTTTCTTGGGGTCGACGTGAACTCCTTGAGTGCTTACGATATGTTTGAGAAATTGAACTTTCTCGAGGGCGAAGTTGCTCTTGGATAGTTTGACATAGAAGCGTTCTCGTCGAAGAATCTCGAAGACGCGTGGTAAGTGTTCCACGTGTTGTTGGATGTCGCGCGAGTAGACGAGGATGTCATCCAGGTACACCACCATGCATTCGTCCAAGAGTGGGCGTAGGATGTGATTCATCTCTGCTTGGAATGATGCAGGTGCGTTGGTGAGTCCGAAGGGCATCACCAGATACTCGAATGATCCGTACCGAGTCCGGAAGGCAGTTTTGTGAAGGGAATCGTCCGCCATTCTTATCTGCCAGTATCCGGACCGCAGATCTAATTTTGAAAATACCGTGGCTCCCCGAAGCCGGTCGATCAGATCATCGATTCGTGGAATCTGGTATTTGTTCTTGATGGTCTGCTTGTTGAGAGCTCGGTAGTCGATGCACATGCGCAGGCTTCCATCTGGTTTTGGTGTGAAGAGTATTGGGGCACTGTACAATGAAGTGGATGGTCGGATGAGTCCTTTGGCGAGGAGATACTCGATCTGCTTCTTCATGTCGGCTACCTCTGTGGGGCTGAGCCGATATGGTGCTCGGAAGGTCGGCTTCGAACCTGGTTCCTCCACGATCTCATGTTGGTGCGTTCGGTATGGCGGTAGCTCGTCCGGGAGGTCGTCGGGAAGAATGTATTGGAACTCCTTCAGTATTTCCTTGATTTCTTTTGGAGGTTCCGAGGCTTTCTCTCTGTCATTCTCCACCTCTGTTGCTATCGCGAGGAATCCGGTGTTGGTTCGCTTGACGTCCTTCTCAAATCTGGCGAGTGTCTCCACTGGAATATCTTCTTTATCGTCCCAGTTGGGTAGCTGGACTCTCCTTCCTTTGTTGTAGATGCTTGCGGTGCGGTTTACCCAATTGATCTCGGGGTTGAATCGTTTTAGGAAGTCTCGCCCGAAGATCAGGTCAAGCCCTTTTATGTTGGTGATGGGGAGAGCAGGTTTCCAGCGCAGTGGCCCGATTTGTAGGTGTAGCACTGCTTCGCCGTACACTGGTAACTTGCTGCCGTCCACCATCGTTGCAGAAAACGCTGATGGCTTGTACTCTTCTCGAAGCCGGTCGATGGTTGCCTTGTCACATACGGTGTGCGATGCTCCGCTATCCACGAGTGCTTGGAGGCGACATCCTTTGCAGATGACCTCGAGCACGAAGGGCAGGCGTTGCTCGGAGTACCCAAAGATAGTTTCATTGATTGGGTCACAGGGTATATCCCAATATTCGTTGCTTCCTACTCCTGAGCTGGCAGCTGGCCGAGGCTGCTTGGAGAAAGGCTCTTCTCCTTGGCCCGGAGTTTCCGTGACGAATGTTCGTGTCGTTGACGAAGTTGCCGAGTTGGATGCATCCGAAGAAGGAGTTCGGGGTTTTTGCAGCTTCTTGTAGACCCCCAGCTTCCTCTTGAGCTGCTTCAGCTCCACCGACGTCTTCCCTGGGGAACGGGTAGTCGCTGTGGGCTGGTGTCGGGAGAGGACGTTGACTCCGTGGAAAGGTCGGCTTCTTTCCACACTCCTTAATTTGGTCCCCAAGTTCTTCGATACCGGTATGATCTCCACATTTTTCTGCTTCTTCTGGAGTCCCTCCCGAATTTTCTCCAAGGCTCTAGCCCCTCGAGAATTACAAGTTTTCATTAAAGCATCTTTATAAGATAACTTTAACGAATCCTTATCATTTCTTGGGTCTTCAAGGAGTTTCCCTGTCTCGGCAGAGTCTTTTTTCCCAGAGTTAGATTTCCTCGGCGAATTCCTCTAGCAAAGACTGGTCGTGGGGTGGAGATTTTTCCCCATCATTTTCTCATGTTAGCGTCGAATCAGCTGCGTCGAAGTTGATTTTTCCGGAAGTCCGCAGCCGCTTTCGGATCTTTTCTTTTTCGCCAGCTAGATCCGCAATTACTGGCGAGTCTCGTTTTTTGGCTTCTGATTGGCCGAAGGATTTCCGCCACTGTTGCGTGCCCGATACTCAGCGCGTGCAGCTTTCATTTTGTTGCAGTCGAAGATTCGATGACCCGGCACCCCGCAAAAATCACATATAAAGTTGGTATTTTTCGGACGTGGCCGCCCTTCGAACGTGTCGACTTCCATCGGGTCGGCGAAGGTGGTGTGAGCCGAGCGGTCGCCCTGTCGCGTACTGCCGACGTGCACCCGTCGTGTCCCGGCGTTGACCATGTCGAAGCGTTCCGCGGCCGATACGACGTCACTGTAGCTCGCGTAGTTTGTCGCTGCCACTTGTCGTTTGACTTCGGTCTTCAGCCCGGTGAGGTACGACTGTACTTTTTCCCCTTCAGTCAGGTCGGGAAAGCGGTTATAAAATTCTTCCATCTGCTGCGTGTACTGTGCTACACTCCCGAACAGTCGATGGCGATGATTTTTTTCCCTGGCAAGGAAACCCGAATTTATCGGCTCAAAACGTTTCAGCGGGTCGGTGCGGAGCTGCTGCCACGTGGCTTCGCTGTGGATGAACGTGCTGTTACCGCCGATCCACTTGAGTGCCGGCCCTTGCATCAGTGTCGCCGCGAGTCGTACGCGTTGACCGTCCCAGACTGGCGAGCTCCATCCGACGGCTGCGAAGTAGATCTCCATGCCGGCGATCCATCTGCGGACATCGGAGTTTTGATTGCTCGGATCGAACGGCTCAGGTGGGCGTGGTTTCGGAGCCTCGAAAAACTGCTGCAATTGCTGCGTCATCGCCGTTGTCTTTTCGTGTTGCGCTCCGGCGAGTCGAGTTACTCACTCGTACTCATTTCGCCACGCTTCGTGATACGCTCGCATCTCCTCCTGAAGGGCTGCGATGCGCGCGAAGAGCTGCTGGGTAACCTCGGCGTTGTCGAAGTTTGCCATCCTGTTCAAAACACGCGCGGAGGGATAATTCGAAAAAGGGCGGAGCTGGTGCTTACCAGAATCGGCGTCGAGTTGGTCGCCCCGGCGGTTTTTCGAGGCAGGAATCCCGCTGCGGCTGCTTAGCTGAGCGCGGCCGAGTGAGAACAATTCTGATTACCAAGTGTTACAGGATCGAATGTGTCGAGGAAAGGTTGCAATATCGATCAGTACAAGGCGCTTTTATACTTCCAAAGTACATCAGGGAACCAGGTTTATCCTATCCCAAGGGAATAGACCCTTCTAGAAGATAGAATCACCCTGCGTATAGCCATGCGAGGCTATTGGCTTTAAGGGATTACGTCAGGATTACGCTAGATATAGCGTGCCAGTACATCCCGAGCGTGGTCGGTGATATAATGATAATAACAGGATAAACCAAAGGTTGATTGAAAATAAGAAATAAGAATCCAAATGGAATGAGAGAAAAACCAAATGGATCAGGAGAAAAAGTGGAATGGAATGGAAAGGGAATATGGAAAGGAGAGAGGAGTGGAACGGGGTCGTACTCTCACAGAAGCCATGGAATGGCGTGAGGGTTTTGTCAACTTATACATATATTGTTATGTAGAAGTTATTGGCTAGATAGGGTATGTTCTTAGTGGGTACAACCCAAACTCTATATCTCCCCTGGTCTCGATTGTTCTAATAATTCTTTCTAGTCTTAACATGGTATCACGAGTAGGTAGGTCCACCCACCCGCTTCCACCCCGTGCCGCCAGCTACCGTCCCTCGCTAGTCCTAACCGGCCCAGTCGCATCCCTACGGCCCCGTCGCGCCCCTACGGCCCCGTCGCGCCCCTCAGGTCCCCCTCGCGCCCCTACTGGCCCCGTCGCGCCACTATGGCCCCGTCGCGCCCCTACGGCCCAGTCGCGCCCCTACGGCCCCGTCGCTCCACTAACTGGCCCAGACCGCCCCTACGGCCCCGTCACTCCTCTACGGCCCCGTCGCGCCCCTCAGGCCCCCTCGCGCCCCTACGGCCCCGTCGCGCCCTTATTGGCTCCGTCGCGCCCATACGGCCCCCTCGCGCCCCTAACTAGCCCCGTCGCGCCCCTACTGGCCCCTCGCGCCGCTCGTTGGCCCCGCCCGCCCCCTACGGCCCCTCGCGCCCCTCGCTGGCCTCGTCGGGCCCCTAGCCAGCCCCATTGCGCCCCTACGGCCCTGTCTCACCCCTTTGGCCCCGCGCGCCCCTACTCGGCCCCGTCGTGCCCCTAACGGCCCCGTGCACCCTAGCCGGCCCCTTGTGCCCTAGCCGGCCCCTTGCGCCCTAGCCGGGCCCCTGCGCCCTAGCCGGCCCCTTGCGCCCTAGCCGGCCCCCTCTCCTGCGCCCTAGCCGACCTTGTAGCTGCGTCCCCGAGCCGCCGTGCCGCCGAGCCGCCGAGCCGCCGAGCCGCCGAGCTGCCAAGTCGCCGAGCCGCCGAGCCGCCGAGCCACCGAGCCGCCGAGCCACCAAGCCGCCGAGCAGCTGTGTCGCTGTGCCGCTAAGCCCTGTGCCGCTGTCAACCTGTGCGATGGCGGACGCCGTTCTTCGCTTGGACGCTGAGGGGCACGCGATTGACTTCATCGCCTGGCTCGTCGACCTCTGCCGGCACCTGACAGGTCAGCGCCAGGATGGGCACTCCCTGGCTATGCATGTTGATGGTTTGCTCCCCCGCCCCCCTGCACCTGATCCCCTCCCTGCTGACCCTACCACTGCTGAGAGCGAGGCTTTTGCTGCTGCTGCGCTTGCTTGAGCTGTCTGGGACTCTCACGATGCAGTAGCGCAACTTGCCATTAGTCATGCCCTTCCCCTGTCTGAGTGTCCGTGCTTCACCGCTATTGCGAACGCCAAGGACTTTCTCGCTGCAGTTGTTGAGCGTTACTCCACCCCTGCTTCCGCCTCTGATGGCCGCTTGATCCTACCCATGCTCTTCCCAGAAATTTCTGCTTTCCCCACTGTAGCTGACCTCGCCACTTACCTCCGTGCCCTAGAGACCAGCTACCGCGCTGCTAGCTCTGCCGCCCAGCTTACTGCCTTCCCTCCACCCTTCTACGCTACCCTGTACCTGATCGCCATGCGCCTGCCTAACCGCTTAGCCACTGCCCGTGACCACTTCCTTAGTCAGCACCCTGCCGACCTCACCCTGACCGCCTTTGTCACTACTCTGTCAGAGATAGAGACTCGCCAGCGCACTATCGCTCAGTCGAGCGGTGTTGCGGCCGTCCCTATCTTTCAGGTCTGTGCGCCCTCCCAGTGCTCGTACGCTGACATCTCAGCCGCAGTTGCCACGACTGCGCCTGCCCCTGAGACAGCAGCTGCGGCTTACCCCCAGCGCCAGCGCCGGGGCCGTCTTGGACCCAAGGGAGGACGTGGTGGTGGCCCTAGTGGTGGTGGTGGTGGGGATAGTGGTTCTAACAAGGGGGTTGGAGCTGGTGCCCAGGAGCAGCAGCAGTCAGTCGCAACAGCAGCCGCAGCAGCAACAGCAGCCGTCACAGCAGCAGCAGCAGCCGTCGCAGCAGCAGCAACAATACCAGCATCCGCAGACGTGGGCTCACCTCCCGCCCGGGTGGCCAGGAGCCCCAGGAGGTGGTGGTCGCGGTGGTGGCCCCCGCACCGTGGCGTCCGCCGGTGGCTTCGGTGCTGTGAGTTGTCAGTACCAGCTCCAGACCGGGCCCCTCCATGGCACGTTGTGCCACCGCCCGCGCCCGATCGCGTGCTGCTTCAGCCGCCTCAACGACCTCTTTCGTCGCCGCTTCGGTCCAGCCCCAGACCTCCTGACTGGCACTGTCTGCTGTGCCACGGTGTGCCTGTGTTTGACTTAGACATGGATCAGATTAGTTCTGTCTTGCATTCTCTGTATGCTGACGCTTCGACTGTTTCTGGACCTTATTACTCTGTGTTCTCTAGCTTAGGTGTAGCACCTGTGTGTAGTTCAGACTCCCCTGCTACATCAGGCATAGGACAGCTTCTTTGTCTAGCCTAGGCTCTAGCCCTGCTCCTCCGTCGTCAGCCACTACGGCGTTGCTTTCCTTCACTCTTGACTCGGGTGCTTCAGCCTGTTTCTTCCGCAACCACGCCACTCTCACACCGCTTGCTGCATCGGCCGCTGTCGCTCTTGCTGACCCCTCCTCTGGTCCCGTAGTTGCTCGCAGCTACACTACCCTTCCCTGTCTGGCGGTTCCCTTGGGTTCCCTTACAGGCCTGCACATCCCTTCGTTCTCCAGGAACATAGTTGGTGTCGGCTGTCTTCAGGACCTCGGCGTCACCACTGCGTTCCCTGGTTACGAGCGGTACGCGGTCTGTACCGAGACCGCCTCCGGTGCCCCCCTTGCTACGTTCCCTCAGGACCATGTGTCTAGCCTGTTTACGTTGGACACAGCTTCCCCCCTGGCGGGCGTGTCTCCCTCCGGTCCTGCATCCACCCAGGTTGTTGCGGCCTGCTCGTGTCAGTCGCTCACTCACCCGTCGCTGTTGTGGCACCACCGCCTAGGTCACCCCGCGCTCCCACGTCTGCGTCACATGTCTCAGCACGGTCTCGTCCTAGGCCTCCCTGCGTCACTTCCTGCCCTGCCTCCCTCGCCTGCGCCGCCGTGCACGCCCTGCATCGAGGGCCGGATGCGCTGTGCTCCTCACTCCTCCTCGCTTCGCCCTGCCAGTGCACCACTCCAGACCCTGCCCCTAGACGTCTGAGGCCCAGCCGCCGTCCCTGGACCGCGTCGTGAGCGCTATTTTCTTGTGCTCGTTGACGACTTCACACGCTACACCACGGTATTTCCCCTGGAGCGGAAGGCCGATGTGCCTGGCATTCTTCTCCTGTGGCTCGTAGCTGCGCGCCTCCACCGCGGACTCCATTTGTTGTGTCTCCATTCCGACCGTGGCGGCAAGTTCGCCTCTGGTTGGCTGGGTCAGTTCTGTCGTGCGAAGGGCATCACCAAGACGTTCACCTTGCCGGACTCCCCGCAACAAAATGGGGTCGCTGAGCGACGCATCGGTTTGGTCATGGAGGTGACTCGTACCTCCATCATCCATGCCGGTGCACCCCCTTTTCTGTGGCCGTTCGCTGTTTGCTATGCTGCTCACCAGCTTAACCTCTGGCCGCGCTCCCAGCGGACGCAGGTTTCGCCGACCCTTCTTTGGACCGGGTTCCCTGGTGACGCATTTGCGTTCCACGTCTGGGGCTGCCTCGCTCATGTTCGTGCCTCTGGTACGGACAAGCTCACTGCCCACACTGTTCCCTGTGCCTTCCTCGGTTTCCCCTTTGACTCGTCTGACTGGCACTTCTACCACTCGCCGTCTCACCACTTCTTTCACTCCCGTGACACCACTTTTGATGAGTCTGTCCCTTTTTCCACCGTTTTCCTCACCAATGTCTCCCGGTTTCCCCACCCCGTTCCTGGTTTCTGCTCCCCTGGTCGTCCCTGCTCCCCTCCCTCCCCATCCTGCTCTGTCTGGTGTCTTACGTCACTCCTCTCCCGCCGGTTGCCCCAATCGAGGAGTTGGCAGACTTTGGTGGCCCCGCGGCACCGGTTGCACCGCCGGTCCCTCCCTCGGTCTCTCCTCCTCCCTCGTCGCAGTCGCCGTCGCCGTCACCGCCGCAGCAGCCGCAGCCGTCGCCACAGCTGCAGCCGTCGGTGTCGCCGCAGCCGCAACCGTTTGTGGACTCTGGGGGTGCTGGAGTTGAGGAGGGTGCTAGTCCTGGGGCTCCTGTCGTGGCTTGTCTCGACGGGCTCGAGGGTGGCACCGACGTTGCCGTCGAGCAGCAGCAGCAGCAGCAGCCATCGCCGGTGTCCACCCTTCGCCTGCTCGGCCTTCCCTCCCCTGACCGCTCGCCCGCGCCTCCCTCGCCGTCTCCTCCTCTTCCTATCCACGGTCCTGTGTTTCCTCTGCCAGACTTGTCCCC